AAAATTCAAAGACAGGCTAAGAGAACTAACCATCACCTTCTTCTCTTCATTAGTGATCTTCTACAATGCCCTAAACCTACCCAGAACCAATGCACCAAAGCTTCTGTGTACTGATATTAAATTAGTTGTAATCAGTAAACATGCTCACAGCATATAAATCAGTACATTCTGACAAAATGTACGTGGAGAACACAACTCCCCCTTGCAGGTGTGGGTGCACGTGGTGGCTTTCTTCCAAAGAGCACAGTATGAAAGGCAGGGAGTGACTTCACAAGGAAAAATCTGACAAGTACCGCCTCAGTGATGTGGCCAAGGTCAACATCACGCAGACATAGCACTCTCACGGCACAGAGCCTTGATGTGACCCAATCAACAGGGCACGACCTCTATGCTCTTCCTCCCAAAAGCCTGTAACTCCAGTCTCAGCACCACTCAAAATCATTTAGGTCATCAGAAAACAAGGGAAGTTGGAGAAAGCGTAACAGCCAAGACGAACCCTGTCATGGGAGATCCTGGAGGGGGGATCCTGGGACAGAAGGAGGACATGACGTAAAAACTAAGGAAGTGTGAAAAACGTATGGACTTTATTCTGTATTAATATTGGTTCGTTACTTGTAACAAATATACGACACTAATTCAAGATTTTAGTACCCAAGGAAACAGGGTGCAGAGTATTGGGCAACCCTCTGCATTATCTTTTCAATTGTTCCATAAATCTAAAACTGTTCTAGGCCACATGAGGTGGCTCACACCTGTAACCCAAGCACTTGGGGAGGCCAAGGCGGGAGGATACTTGAGGCCAGGAGTTCGAAACTAGCCTTGGCAACATAGTGAGGCTCCATCTCTACATTAAAAAAAAAAAAAAAAAAACTATTCAAAATATAAAGCCTATTTTTAAAAAAAGAAGAAGAAGGAATTACGGATGACCCTTTAGTTGGCCAGGCGCAGTGGCTCACGCCTGTAATCCTAGCACTTTGGGAGGCCAAGGCAGACTGATCACCACGTCAGTAGTTCGAGACCAGCCTGACCAACATGGTGAAACCCCGTCTCTACTAAAAATACAAAAATTAGCCAGGCATGGTGGAGAATCACTTGAGCCCACGAGGCGGAGGTTGCAGTGAGCCAAGATCACATTACTACACTGCAGCCTGGGCAACACCACGAGATTCCACCTCAAAAAGAAAAATGCAATGTTAATGCTATCTCAGATGTGATGACGATGAGGCTGTACAGGAGACAGCTTCTGAGCTCAGAAGCCACCTGGAGAAGGATTCTAGGCTGAAATACTATCACATGTGACTTATTTTCAAATAATAAAAATAACAGAAAAAAATTTTGGAGCTGAGGAGTTAACATATACAAGCGAATATGGAAAAAGTTAGCAGCTAGTAGAATCCAGGTGAAAGGGCTAGGGATATTCATTGTACTATGCTTTCAACTCTTTAGTTTTGACATTTTCAGAATAACAATTAGTAGAGAAAGGTTCATCCTCACTTCAGTAAGCTCCAGGGGACAGAGCCAGACCTACCTTATTCACCACTGTTTCCCCACTGCCAGCTGACTGCCAGGTCCTCATCCCACTGGCCCAGCAAACGACTGAACCACTGCTAATGTTTCTGCGGGAATCTCCCTCCACGCTTCTTCCTGGGCCTGAAAAAGTGACACTCGGCATGCTGCTTTGCAACCACCTGTCGGGAAAGTACAGTCGGCCCTCCCCATCCATGGGCTGACCCCACATGCATGGATTCAACCAACAGTGGACAGAAAATATAAGGAAAAAAGAAATTGCATCCATACGGAACATGTGCAGGCTTTTTTTCTTGTCATCATTCCCGAAACAATATAGTACAGCAACTATTTACATAGCATTTACATTGCATTAGGCATTGCATGCAATCTAGCAACGACAAAGTGCACAGGAGGGAGTGCACAGGTGACATGCAAACACTACACCGCCTCGGAGTCAGGGACTTCAGCACCCTCTGATTCTGGTGTCTGGGAGAGGTCCTGGAACCCATTTCCACAGAGCCTGAGGGACAACACAGGCTCACCACAATGTTTCAACCTATCTCTGGCTGAGGGGAAATCAGGATATTTCTAATTCTCCCCTATTTCAAAGCTGTGATAAATACTCCAGGAGCAAAATCTTTGCATGCACCTTATTTTCCAAGCTTAAATTCCCAGAAGCTGAACTGTTGAATCAGTCTCTCTTTGAACACACAATGGGAGCTGACTGCCGCCCCACCTCAGCAACAATAGGTGTTATGTTCCCACCTGTACTGAGTTCCAGCTTCCGTTTGCAAACTCAAAGTACTACCATTTTCTCTGCAATGCACTCCAGCCTGGGCGACAAAGCAAGACTCCATCTCAACAATAACAACAACAACAACAAAAAGCAGGAGATTGGTCAGAAAAGACTGTACAGCCATGAGTGTTTCCATGCAGGGAAATTTCTCCATGCAAGGAGGAAAAGCCTGGTGAACACAAGAACTGCTGAGAACAGGGCTGCAAGGAACACCCTGGACCCTCTGGGCCGCGAAGACTGGAAACAGAGGCCATGGCAGGGCACCCAAGACCGGGCCCCCTCGGAGGAGGAATAAAGTGACAGGCCAGGAGAGGAGGGGGAGGTGCAGGAGGGCTGGCACCTGGGGACCAGCCTGCAAGTCCTTGGAGCCCCCCCTCACCAGAAAAAGGGAAGCAGAAAGGGCAGTGGCAATGGCCAGAGTGAGGAGAACGCAGCACCGTGCGGCAGTGCGGAGTGAGGGCCGCGTTGACGGAGCATCGCCTGGAGGGACAGCCACTGAGGCCGCAGCACTGAGGGCCGCACTAACGCAGCAAGGGGAGAGAGTCACCACACCCAAGACTCAGGAGCAAGGTCCTGTCCCTTCTCCCACCCCCGGGGCTACTGGAATCACCGAGGAAGATCTGAAAAGTGGGGGCCCCTTTCCCACGTTTCACTGCAGGTCAACGCATGCCAGGAGCATTTCAGCGAGGCTTCGAGTCTTCCCTGCAAATCTCATCAGCCTTTTCTGAAGGCATTCAATGCACAGCTGTCACTTTGGGCTACAACCCCATCCTACTGCAGTCAAATTAACTCCAAAAGGGAAAAAACAGGTTGAAGAATGGGACTTCAACAAAGAACTTATTGTAAAAACTAAGCCCGTAGCCAGATGAATCCTGACTGGCATGCTGCTGAGGCACATAGCCTCTCCTCAGCCCTCTCCAGCATGGGAGGACCTGTCACTAGCTCCATAAACACGCGGGAGACTCGAACCGCCAGAACATCCTTGGCCTTCAGACACACCTTCAAACCTCGTCTTTAAGTATTTCCATTCCCTGCAGGCTGCGAGCTGATTTGAAACACAGATTGGGCCAGTCCCCGGCACGGTGACTGATATAGAGGGCATCTGATCTTGTTTGGGGAATGAAGAAAGTCACTGGGCTGTCCAGGAACTACATGCCCACCTTCATCAGATGAAAACCACACATTTGTTTATTCTGCAAGGGGCCATGTGCTCAACAGTGAGCTGCTAATGTCAGGCTTGTCCATCTTCTTCATACTCAAGCTCTATAGTACTGTTCGCAATTCTGTGGGCCCTTGTATAATCCAACTCTTTAAACAGAAACCAGGCTGGGCGTGGTGGCTCACGCCTCTGATCCCAGCACTTTGGGAGGCCGGGACGGGAGGATCCCTTAAGCCCAGAAATTTGAGACTAGCCCTGGCAACACAGCAAGACCTCCATCTCAATCAATCAATCAATAATATAGGTGGTTGCACACCTGTAATCCCAGCTATTCAGGAGGCTGAGGCACAAGAATCCCTTGAACCAGGAGGCAGAGGTTGCAGTGAGCCGAGATAGTGCCACTGTACTCCGGCCTGCATGACACAGCAAGACTCTGCCTCAAATAAATAAATAGACAAACAAACAAACAGAAACCAGAATCAGGTGTTCTTATAAGGGATGTGAAGCCCAGAAATGTCAATCTTCTATAATGAATTGAGTAATTCTCTTAACACATTCAAAGAGTCCTGGAATTTCTTGGAGTAAAAATTCCGGTTTCAATATCAGGAAAACTGTCTAGACTAAGAGAATGGAAACAGGCTTTGTGCAACCAACATCAGGTACAGAAAAGAGACCCCAACAATCATCATGAACCCAAAGAGGCCTTTCTCCTCGCTGAGAGAGAAGAGAACACACAGAACCCATTCCTCATCAGTCTTTGAGAAAACGTGCCCTGCCTGGGATCTAACAGCTAGACACGGAACATACAACCTGTTCTCAATATTCAAGTAATTTTTTAAAGGACCTGGTATCACACTGAGCAAGTGAATAATGCAATTCTGTTATAGAAGAATGCATGGCTGAAAAAACCTGAGCAATATATGTCCAAAACTTGAAGTTTCCACGCCAGCACTTCCTCCCAGCACCCTGCCCTTTGAACATGCCTTCAAAACAACTGCGCTGTGCAGCCTGGCAACCACCTGTCATCGCATAGCAGGCGCGGAGTGGCACACAGCACCCTGGCCCTTGCACCGGCTCGGGGGGCTGTTTCTGTACCCAGTGCTCCTCTGCAGCCACAACCTGCCTCCCCACAGAACTGCAGCACCATGTGGCATCCTGTCCAAGTCCATTTCCACAGAAGATGCCTCTCGGAAAGGGGAAAGTGCCACGCTAATACCCACTCTCTTCCAAACACATCCTCTCAGAAGGGACTGGCCACGCTTGTCCCCTCATTTCTGCAACACTTCCCAGTTCATCACCCGCTTGCCCGACTCCATCTCCCACCAGTGTCAATCAGCTGCCCTGGAGCATCTAAACCCTGGGTCAGGTGGCTCAGGGGATGAGGACATACACTGAAAAGGAGAACACTACCTGTTCCTCTCCAAAACCATGCTGAAGGCAGTCTGGAGGGCCAAGACCTGCCAAGAAGAGCTGCCCTTTTCAGGCCCCAGATCTCTGCAGACTGCTGTTGGATCCTTCTCATAAAATACATCTCAGAAGAGCAGAACAAACCACTTCCCTCTTAGTACTGGGACCTCACCTTACCAGCTCTGGACTCAGCTTGGACTGGCTGTTGGGGTATCGCTGGGGACAGGAACACATCACACTATGCACCAGACCAGCTACATAAGAAGAATTCCCCAAAAGGAGGGAGAAAATTGAAAGCCACTTCTCTCCATGCTCTCTGCTTCTCCCCTCGCCTTCTCCTAAAGATGCAGCCACCTTTGCAAAAGACAGAACCACCCTAGGGAGTGCAGGAGGCCACTCTGCCTAGTTCCCCAATTCTACCTTCAGCAAAATCATTATGTTTCTTTTTTCCAAAGGGAGGATTCCAAGCCTCACCCATTCAGAGTACTGACCTCAAACAAGGCCAAATCACAGCCTCTGTCCAAACAGCTGCTTTCTGACAGCAGGAGGCTGAAACAGGCCCCAGGGTCACAGAGTTCAGCCATCTGCCCAAAAAAAAATGTACAGTTCTTCCACATGAAGATACCCCTCCTGCTTCCAGCACAGCATGGTCAAGACATTCAGGCCCAACTGCCCCAGGAAGACATCCTGGGCAGTGGCACTGAAGACTTTCTTACACAAGAGTGCTGGGCTGAGCTGTCTGGCAGACCCTCCCTGGGGGGTTCCAAACGTGAGGGGCACGGTGACCCTGGAGTCTCAACTCCTTATGAGGCAGGTACTTAACGTCGCTGCAGCTCACCTTCTGCACCTGTAAGATGGGAACAACACCTACCTTGAAATGAGGTGTCAAAGTACCTAGGAAAGCGCCTGTCTTGAGTAGTCAGCTCAAGAAATGGTACTCACAACCTCTGCCCCACTTAGCATCAGACTGGGCCAGGCCACTGTCTGCCTTTACACGCGCACTGCTCCCCCTGCTGGCTGTCTATAGTACAGACACGGGCAAGTTCACTGGGAAGGGGGCTGGTTTCTCATACAGGGCCACCCTAAAGTCCAGATGCAAACCCACTTGAACCCGGAGGTCTATCCGTCCTCAGGTGACTATCCAGGATTAGGGCTGCCTCTACCATTACGGACAGGAAACACGGCATATTCTCACATACGTACACGTCGGGGAATTCAGCTGACAGAGATGCAAAAGCCTCGTTCCTGACATTTCCTCACATGGAAAATCTATCTTGTATTCTATCATTCTTGCTCACTGGATTCAGTGATTTTGTGCAAAAAAAAAGGCTGCCTAGGTGAAGAAAACTGCAGATATTAAACTAAATGTCCATCATGTAGAACTGCTATGGCCATGAGAAAATGTGCTCAGGCCCGGCGTGGTGGCTCACATCTGTAATCTCAGCACTTTGGGAGGCCGAGGCAGGCAGATCACGAGGTCAGGATTTCCAGACCCGCCTGGCCAATATAGTGAAAACCTGTCTCTACTACAAATACAAAAATTAGCTGGGGGTGGTGGCGTGGGCCTGTAGTCCCAGCTACTCAGGAGGCTGAGGCAGAAGAATTGCTTGAACCGAGGAGGCAGAGGTTGAAGTGAGCCCAGACTGCGCCACTGCGCTCCAGCCTGGAGGACAGAGAGAGACTCAGTCTCAAAAAAAAAAAAAAAAAAAAAATTGCTCTTTCCTCTTCCAATGAATGCCACCAAATACACACCTTCCTTTGAGACAGCGTCACTGGGTGCAAGTTAACCTCACAAACTTCACCATGACCGTACACCCCAGCCTCAACTGAGCCTGACCAAGCAGCCTAATTCATGTTTTTGCATGTTAGCTGGTACACTCCGGGGTACACATGTTGAAACAGCCAAAGGCATCCCTTTCACCCTTCACCATTTTTCTCAACTGAAACGTTTTCCTTCTTTAACACTTTGGATTATAACGTATCTCTACAAAATCAACAAGTGAGCTGCAGAAGGTTCCAGAGCCTCCTGACGAAGTTACAAAATTCAGTGTCAACTCTGCATTTTTCTCAGAAGAGGGCCTGTATCTTTCCTCAGATTCTCAAACTCACAACCCCTGCGCCCCCAAAATGATCAAAAACGTCTATCAAAAAGCCGCAGCTGCCGGGCGCAGTGGCTGACACCTGTAATCCTGGCACTTTGGGAGGCGGAGGAGGGTGGATCATCTGAGTTAGGAGTTCGAGACTGACCAACATGGCGAAACCCCAACTCTACAAAAAAATACAAAAATGAGCCGGGCGTGGAGGCGTGTGCCTGAAATCCCAGCTACTCTGGAGGCTGAGTAAGGAGAATCACTTGAACCAGGGAGGCCGAGGTTGCAGTGACCCGAAATCGGAGCACTGCACTCCAGCCTGCGCGAGGGGAGTGAGACTCCATCTCAACAACAACAAAATAGCCAGGCGTGGTAGCGCAATCTTGTAATCCCAGCTATTCAGGAGGCTGAGGCAGAAGAACTGCTTGAACCCGAGAGGCAGAGTATGCGCTCAGAGTCGAGATCACGCCATTGCACTACAGCCTGAGCAACAAGAGCAAAACTACGTCTTAAAAAAAAAAAAAAAAAGTCGCATCCTGGAAGATAAGGGATCAAGTAAATTTCTTGGGTTTTCCTTCATTTAAAATATTTGCCTTTTAAATCAAGCTTTGCAAGCTATGTAGACGTTCTTCCATCAGCCACTACACATCGCATACAAGGCATAAATTCTTAAACCATCGGCCCCAGACTCTAGAACTTAGCATATGGAAAACATAAAAACATCAGGGATACTTTTAGCAACAGAGAGAAAATACAGAAACACCAGCGATACTTTCAGCAAAACATTTCACCCAACAAGTGGTTTGTTTTGGTCCTTCCCCTAAAATCCCTCCTACCTGTCAGGCTCACTTCCCCTGGGTGATCCCGAACACTCGGCCTCCCAGGGGCTTCCCACAACGCTGAGCACAGCCACGGGCAGGAAAAGCACCCAAATGCCCCTTGGCAGGACCGTCAAAGGAGAGTTTACCCCGTCACCCTCATCAAGAATTTGGAAACGGGGGCCCAGGCGCATCAGGTGCTTTGAGCAAGAACTCGCACCTTCTGCTTCTCTCGCAGTCGAAGGCGCCCGGGACCCCAATCCAGGGGGGAGGCCGAAGGTGGTTTCTCTAATGACAGAAGCGAAAGGTAACCCCGGACGTTCGACTCCAGGCTGCACCTAGCCGAAAACAAACTTTCCAGGCACTTCCACCCGCCGGGCCGGGTGACACCTCCCGGCCTCCCCCGCCCTCCGCGCGTCTGTCAGCGCCCCCGGCCAGGCCAGCGCCCGCCGCAACCCAGGCCCAGCCAAGCAGCGCCGCAGCCAAGCAGCGCCCTCGGCCGGCGCCCGCCATCCCCAGCCCGGCCGCTTGGCCGCAGGTGAGCCGCCGCCCGGCCCTCGGGACCCCGGGCCGCCCCGCCTCGCCGGACCCAGGCGGCCGCCGCAGCCGGCGGGGTAACGGACCGGCGCGCCCAGCCCGCCGCCGCGCGCTCACCAGCTGGCTGGTGGTCCTGGCCATGGGCCCCGCGTCAGCGCGGGCGCCTCCCCCGCAGCGCTGCGCGGCTCGGCGCCTCTTCAGCGTCCTCCTCCCCGCAGCGGAGCCCCAGCAATGGCCGCCCTCATCCTGCGCCCGCCCCGTCGCCCGCCGCCCCCAGCGCCGCCCCGCCCCCGCGCGACGCGGGGCAGGACTTCCGCCGCGGCGCCGCCGCCGCCGCCCGCGCTGATTGGCCGCGCCCACCGTCGCTCCGCCACGGCCCGGGTGGGCCCCGCCTCCTCCTCGAACTGCATTTCCGGGTTGGGGCCTGGCGGGCGGGAGAGGGCCGGCCCCGCCTGGGGAGGGGGACCTCGCGCGAGCCAATCCCGAAGCTCGCGGGGCGGGGCTGGGCGGGGCGGGGGGGCGAGCTGTCATTCCGGGCTCCCAAACCGGGAAACTGAGGCTCAGAGGGGACCAGGCTCCGGCCAAGGTCACGCCCGAGGTTGCGGCGGGGCTGGGCTCGAACCTGAGGCTCCGACTCCGGAACCGGCTCTGCGTAAACGCGGAGGCGCAACTTTGCTAGTTTCACAACAAGCCTTCACGGAAGGAAATCTGGGCTATAAAGTCACATTCATACAACAGAAAACAAGCCCATCTTACCACTGTCGATAGTCCCGGAGGCAAATTCAGAACTTCTGTCCTTCCCTATAAATTATTTTGTGGCGGTTTTTTTCCTTTGTAGTTGTTAATGTCGATGATGGATTGTGTTTTGTTTTTTTGTTTCTGAGACCGAGTCTCGCTCTCTGGCCCAGGCTGGAGTGCAGTGGCTCGATCTCTGCTCACTGCAACCTCCGCCTCCTGGGTTCACGCGATTCTCCTGCCTCAACCACCTGAGTACTTGGGACTACAGGCATGTGCCACCAAGCTCCGCTAAATGTATTTTTTGTAGAGACCAGCCAGGCTGGTCTCAAACTTAAGCGATCTGCCTGCCTCAGCCTCCCAAAGTGCTGGGATTACAGCGTTAGCCTCCACGCCCAGCTCGACTGGGTTAACTTTCCTTGTTGTTTTTGATGCAGTCTTGCCCTGGAGTCAGTGGCCCAATCTCTGTTCACTGCAACCTCCACCTCCCAGTTCAAGCAATTCTCCTGCCTCGGCCTCCCAAGTAGCTGGGATTACAGGTGCCAGCCACCATGCCTGGCTAATTTTTTTGTATTTTTAATAGGAAACCGCATTGGCCAGGCTGCTCTCGAACTCCTGACCTTGTGATCCACCCGCCTCGGCCTCCCAAAGTGCTGGGATTACAGGCATGAGCCAGTGCACTTGACCAACTTTATTTTTTTTTATACCGACACATGGCCATGCAGTTCTTAAGTAATGCACAGAGAAAAGGGAAGCAGTGAAGGAAAAACAACTTGAGGAACTAGTACACGGTGAACTCTAGAACACGGAGCCCAGGGTAGAGGAGCTTCAGGGGCAGGGACAAGGGTGAGAGGAGGCTGTTCCATGAAGAAAGCAGCTAAGCAGGCACCAGGGGACAGGGGAGAGGGAGAGCTGAAGGTCAAGGAAGAAAGGACAGTTACCAGTTGTCCTGGGGGCCCCAGTGGCAGCCAGAATGCTTGGCCAAGCCCAAGGCAAGCCAGACCAGGTAGCCCCTTTGCCCTCTGGAGACACACAGAAACCTCCCCATGGGTCAGGTCCAGTTGCCCCTTCCAGGACACCGCACAGGGAACAGATGTCTCACCTGGGCCAACACATTTCTCCGGCACCAAGGCTGGAGGAAGGAGACTGATGCCCTCTCTTTATCTCACCCTTTCCTGCCCAGAACCTCTGTCCATGGCCCATGGATGATCTCAGGCCAAGCAGTCCATCCAGGGAGGGGCAAAAAGATGACCAGAACCATCTCGGGAGGGGCTGGAAGGCTGCCTCCCGTGTGTGGCCCTGTGCTGCACTTACATGTTCCTCACTCATTTCTACAACCCTTATGGCACAAAGGAGGAAACCGGGATGCAGAGGCCAAGGAACTTGCCCAAGTCCCTACAGCTGGTGTATTAGCTATCTACTGCTGTGTAACAAATTGTCCCAAAACTTAAGATGTGTAAAACAACTAACACGGCTGGGCGCGGTGGCTCTCATGCCTGTAATCCCAGCACTTTGGGAGGCCGAGGCAGGCAGATCACTAAGTCAAGAGATCGATACCATCCTGGCCAACATGGTAAAACCCCATCTCTACTAAAAATACAAAAATTAACAGGGCGTGGTGGTGCATGCCTGTAGTCCCAGCTACTTGGGAGGCTGACGCAGGAGAATTGCTTGAACCCAAGAGGTGGAGGTTGCAGTGAGCCAAGATCGCGCCACTGCACTCCAGCCTGGTGCCTGGCAAGACTCTGTCTCAGAAAACAAAAAAACACCATGTTTGGCTCATGGTTCCTGCAGGTCTGGAATCCAGGAGAGGCTGGGCTGGGTGGTCTGGCTCAGACTCTCTCGTGAAGTTGCCATCAAGATGCAGCCAGGGCTGAGCCACCTAAAGGCTAGAGGAGGGCCAAAGGATGCACTTCCTAAAGGTTCATTCCCACGTTCCCACAGCTGCAGGCTGGAGGCAACAGTCCCTCACCACACAGGCCTCTTCACAGGGGTGTGTGTTTTCAAGCCCTAGCAGCTGGCTTTCCCCAGAGCAAGTGGCCCAAGAGAAACAGAACACATGCAAGAGAGAAGTCACCGTGTCATTAATGACCAAACTTCAGAAGTGACACATTACCACTTCAACACATCTACTGGTCACACAGAACAACCCTGGTAGAAAGTGAAAGGGCGTGCTTTGGGAGGTTGAGGCAGGAGCATTGCTTGAGGCCAGGTGTTTGAGACCAGCCAGGACAACAAATTGATACCGTCTCTAACGAAAAATCATTTATATAAAAATTTTTAAAAAGTGAAATGGTGTAATCCCAGCCCTTTGGGAGGCCGAGGTGGGCGGATCACAAGATCTGGAGTTTGAGATCAGCCTGGCCAACACATGTCAAAACCGCGTCTCTACTGAAAATACAAAACTTAGCTGGGCGTGGTGGCGGGCACCTCTCATCCCAGCTACTTGGGAGGCTGAGGCAGGAGAATTACTTGAACCTGGGAGATGGAGCTTGCAGTGAGCCGAGATCGCACCACTGCACTCCAGCCTGGGTGACAGAGCAAGATTCCATCTGGAAAAAAAAAAAAGTGAAATGGGACTACACAAGGGTATGAAATCCAGGAGGGGCCATTCTTGGAGGTCCCCTTCAAGCTAGTTGAGGACAGAACCAGGATTCCAATCTCAGGGAGAGACAGAAGCAAGAAGCACAGGCCCAACCCGGACCCCTGGAGGTGTGCACGCCACAAGGCCCTGCGTTACAAAGCCAAGGAAGGAAGGCCTCTCCCAGCAAGGATCCCAACCAGGCTTGCATTTCTAGACTGACCCTGCAGCTACTCAGCAGTGTCTTTAAAGGGGACTAGAGGAGGGGAAATGGGAGGCAGGGAGATCAGGTGACAGAAAAGGAGGCTTGGCAGGGCACAGTAGCTCATGTTTGTAATCCCAGCACTTTGAGAGGCTGAGGCAGGCAGATCACTAGGTCAGGAGTTTGACACCAGCATGGTGAAACCCCGTCTCTTTAAAAAAAAAGAGAGAGAGAGAAAAGGAGGCTCTCAAAAGACAACAGCATTGGCTGGGTGTGATGGCTTATACCTGTAATCCCAGTACTTTGGGAGAGTGAGGCAAGCAGATCACTTGAGGTCAAGAGTTCGAAACCAGTCTGGCCAACATGGTGAAACCCTATCACTACCACAAATACAAAAATTAGCCGGGCATGGTGGTGCATGCCTGTAATCCCAGCTGCTCAGGAGGCCAAAGCATGAGAACCACTTGAACCCAGGAGGCGGTGGTTGCAGTGAGCTGAGATCGCGACACTGAACTCCAGCCTGGGTAACCAAAGGAGACTGTCTCAAAAAAAAAAAAAAAAGGACAACAGCATGGTCCCTGCCTGCCTCTGGCCCACAAGACTCTGGTCACATGTCTGAGGCTCCCGATATACATTTACTGGGCTGCAGATACACGGGTGAACGAAACATGACAAAGTCATTCAGTGGTTTCCAACCCTCTGGGGTAAATATCCTCCCATGTAAGCCAGGAGGCCGGGAATTTAAGACCAGCCTGACCAACATGGTGAAACCCCGTCTCTACTAAAAAATATAAAAATCAGCCAGGCACAGTGGCATGTGCCTGTAATCCTAGTTACTCTGGAGGCTGAGGCTGGAGAATTGCCTGAACCAGGGAGGCAGAGGTTGCAGTAAGCTGAGATGGCACCACTGCACTCCAGCCTGGGTGACAGAGCGACTCCATCTCAAAAAAAAAAACCAATAAAAGGCTGGGCCTGGTGGCTCATGCCTGTAATCCCAGCACTTGAGGAGGCTGAGGCAGATGGATACTTGAAGTCAGTTCAAGACGACTCTGGCCAGCATGGTGAAACCCCAACTGTACTAAAAATACAAAACCAACTAGCCAGGCATGGTGGCAGGCCCCAGCTACTCAGGAGGCTAAGGCAGGAGAATCGCTTGAACCCAGGAGACAGAAGTTGCAGTGAGCAGAGATCGTGCCACTGCACTCCACCTGTGAAACACAGTGAGGCTCAGTCTCAAAAAAAAAAAAACCCAACAAACAAAAAGAACCCCCACCAAACTGCAAAGTAATAGCAAATGTGCAATCCCATTTAGAAAAAACGTATGTGGCCAGGCGCGGTGGCTCACGCCTGTAATCTCAACACCTTGGGAGGCTGAGGTGGCTGGATCACAAGGTCAGGAGTTCGAGACCAGCCTGGCCAATATGATGAAACCCTATCTCTACTAAAAATATAAAAAACTAGCTGAGCGTGATGGCAGGAGCCTATAGTCCCAGCTACTCAGAAGGCTGACGCAGGAGAATCGCCTGAACTCCGGAGTCGGAGGTTGCAGTGAGCCAATACTGTGCTACAGCACTCCAGCCTGGGCAACACAGCAAGACTCTAAGAATAAAAAGAAAATAAAAGAAAAAGAAAAAATATACGTTACATAAGTGTGGTAAAAGGCGCAAGGCCAGGCTGGAAGGGAGCTCGCTCTGGATTTGTCCAAGGGCTCCAGGAACGGAAAAGCAGGACTGAGGAGGTGCTCTTCCTCCAGGCTTCTGGTGCCAATATTCCCTGCCGTGCCCACCCCGGGTCTCCAGCCAGGGCTCAAAACCAACTCAGTTTCGGAAGCTCCCAACCACGGTGCTTCTAGAGTGCTTGCCCACCCCTTCCCTCCACTTCCCAAAGACAGTGAGGGCGGGACGAGGCGAGGTACGGAGGTGCAGGACCCGCGCCAAGTTGTGGTGTAGTGGGATCTACTTGTGCGTAATTGGTACTAGAAAGGAAAACTGAGGCCCGGTGGAGTCTGCAGGGATGTGGGGGACCCGACCGGGAGAGCTGGGACTGAACGAACGCAGAGGGTTAGATGAGGCGGGGTTCGCAGACGTGGGGGGCGCAGCGGGGAGAGACGGGATCCGCAGCGTTCTGGGGGTTGCGGTGGGGAACGTTGGGGCAAGGTGGAGTCTGCAGGGGTGTGGGGGGCGCGGTGGGGAGCGGAGTCTGCAGCGGTGTGGGGGGGTACAGCGGGGAGCGGTGGGGCGCGCAGGAGTCCGCAGGGGTGTGGGGGAGCGAAGCAAGGAGCGTTGGGGCAAGGCGGGGCTCCACAGGGTTGGCGGGGAGCTCTGGGGCGAGACGGGTCCGTAGGCGTGTGGGGACGTGGCCGAGGGCGTTGGGACGAGGCGGGGTCCGCAGGGGTGGATGCGGGTGACACGGCGGCGGGGAGGGTTGGGGCGAGGTGGGGTCCGCAGAGGTGTGGGGGGTGCGGCGGGGAGGGTTGGGACACGGAAGGACCCGCAGGGGTGTGAGGAGTGCGAGAGGCCGCGTTGGTCCCCCAGCTCCCCGCGCCTGCCCGGATCGCGCAGCCCCAGCTCTGTGCCCCGGGACCGCGCGGGTTAACTGGCGAGGACGACGTGCACCCCTATTGCTCGGCCGCCACGCGTGCCTTCCCTACGGCGATCCTAATTGGCCCGACAGAGTCCCGCGCCCAGAAGCCCCTCCCACAGGAGGCGTGGCCTCCCTCGCCAAGTCGCTCCCAGACTCGCGGGTCCGCGTGGACTCATCGCCTGGGCTGCAAGTCTGGGCGGGGCAGGGCCGGATTGGTGGAGAGCTTCCCGGCTGACGGTCTCCCGCTCCCACGCCCCAAGCGCGGTCAATCGGAGCCCACGAGGTGCAGAGGCTCGCACTGCGAAAGGGACCTGGCTGGGATCCCTCGGCGCTCGGACTCGAACCGAAGGCTCAGCCTGGCCTCCCGCGGTGTGTCCAATCGTAGGCGCAGGGTCTGATCTCCCGTTCACACAGGACGAAACGGGCCACAGCCCGCCAGGTGGCTCAGAGCAGGCACCTCCAACTCCATTCCTCCCTACAGGCCCGACCCCCCAACCCGTGACTCAGGCAGACTCCTGGGCCTCCCCTTCCAGCGCATGCCCACACCGCGGGCAGGCCTGCCCCTCACCACGCAGCCAGGGTGCCCTGCATTCTTCTGTGTAAAACTCATAGCTCTAGAGGGAGAGGAATGGTGGGGCGGGGCTGGAAGCCCGGCGGGAGTGAGCAGTGGGGAATGGAGATGGATGGTGGCCGAGGTCACACAATGTAGTGAATTCACTTCATGCCACATAACTGCTAACTTAGGATAGTTACTTTTGTTGTATGTAGTTTACAATTTTTAAAAAGCAAACCAAAACCCACCAAGAGTGCTTCCCTCATGCCTCAAATAAAATCCAAACTCTGGCAGCAGCTCCCTGGCTTAGCTCACTCACCCTGACCCCAGGCCCCCTCCCACCACTCATGACTAGCTCCCAGTTTCTGGGGTCACCTTACAGACCACCCATCTCAGCCATCCCCTCCCCAACCCTCCACCCACAGAGGTAGGGCGCTAGTCAGTGGAATGTGGCAGGCACAGCCCAAAGGCTGGCCCACAGCTCCCCAGCTCTGGGACTGGGTGCTCCGTCTGAGGTGGGGACGACTAACAGGCCAGCTCTGGGTTTTAGCTGAGCAAGCGCCTACAGCCAGCAATCGCCTACAGCCAGCAAGCTGGGCACAGGTGCTGCTCAGCTTCAAACACATCGCTGAGAACCTCGCCTGGCTCTCCCTGCCTGGGAGTCCGGGCAGACAGCTCCTCTCCCAGGCCCAGCTCAGGCAGGCGCTGGGTGGCCACATCGTGAGGGGTGCAAGGTTGTTGAGGAAGAGCTAGGTATCCCTGTACCCCACACCTCCCAGGAGGTCAGGATCCACAACGGGTGCCTGCTTTCCTGGGTGCCCATGTACCCCCTGGGGCTGTGGGCTGAGATCAACCCCAGGCCCTCCCTCAGGCCAGGCCCTGTCTGGCAGGTGGCTCCTCCCTGGCTGTTCTCTTCCAACAGCTGGAGCCTAGACCATCCTCATCTCTGAACCTGGAGACATTTCCTTAACTGGGCTTTGCAGCAAAGAGGAAGGAACAGTGGCAATGCCAGGTGCATACCTCCTGCACCCAGGACAACACCTGTAAGTGAGAGGGAAGGGGGCCACCCACCCCAGAACCCAAATGGAAAGGCAAGACAACCACCCCTGACCTGGGGCTGCACCAGTCCCTGACGTCTGGCGCCATCATGGCTGTCCTCAAAGCCAGAAGGCTCCCAAAGCCCACCCGCATCGAAGCTGTTCAGGGCGCCTCACGGCCTGTGCTGGCCTCATGGGTGTGTCTCAGGGCCAAGGGGACATGGAAGATGGCAGGATGACACGGGGTGAGCAGGGCACACTGGTGTCTCCCACACTGCCCTCCAGCACCAGGCAGGGTCACCATGGCCGGCAAGCACCAGGCCTGGGGATGGGTGAGGAGACAGGGTTGTTGAGACAGAATGCAGGTCATCCATGGCACTGAGGGCTGGGCAGGCGAGGGAGCAGAGGGCACGGGTTCCAGGCACAGCCTCCTTCCTGGAGGTCAGAGCGGACCACCTGGCACTGTGCCCTAGTCCACAAGTAGGCCATGGACACCACCTGCACACCCAACTCAGGTGCAGACAGCAAAACCCTGACTGTCCACACCCCCTGTGCCCGGCCCCCCTTCCTGCCCACTCTCCACCTGCAACCTACAGCGGCTTCACCCCACGGTGCCAGCTTCTGACTGGCTGCCCTCTCCCTCCTGCAGTGACATTTTCCGGGGCCCTGCAAGTCTCAGGTCCACCTCATGCAGACAGACCCTGTCCCCCACCAAGGCCCACAAGACCCAGGCTGAGCCCCAGCCCTCAAATGCCTTCCCCAGGAGGGCAAACGGGAACGGTGCCACGTGTGAACACAAGCAAAACCCAGAGCCGAGTCAAATCCTACTGGGTACACGTTTATCCCAGCCACCGCCTCCGGGGCGGCCGCACAGGCCCTGGGTATCAGCCCGGCAGGGCTCCCAGCTTGCTCCCTGGAGTCCAGCTCCCCAACCACCCGGCCCCGACGGCATTCAGCTGCGGCCGGGCGTGCTCTCAGCCGAGGTCCTCCTCACTGCCTGGCTGCCTCCGCCTGCCACACCAGCTCACCCGAGATGTAGGTGGCCTGGACGTGGAGGGAGTCGTCGAGCACCACGAAGTCTGGGGCAGAGCCGGGCGGTGAGTAGGGGGCAGGAGCGGGACCGCCCACCCACCCCAGATCTGCTCCCCGACAACCCAGTACTGGTGGGGAAACTGAGGACCAGGAACACGACCGTTGACCCATCACAGACGGACAACGTTCCCTGTAACCCCGTGCCTGGCTTTGCCTGCAACACTGGAAAGCCTTCCCTGATGGCAACTGGGGCTACAACAGAGGCTGGCAGCCGGCAGCCCACCTGAGGGAAGGGAGCTGGCGAGGAACCACCCTCCCTGCCCCTGTCCAGCAAGGCTAGACTGCCCAGTGACCCTGAGATGGGCCCTCACCTGCGTCAGCACCGAAGTCCAGGGTCCCCTTACTCTTCTCCAGCCCCAGCAACTGGGCAGGGTGCAGGGATGCAGCTTCCAGGGCCAACTCCACGCTACAGCCTGCTTGGGGGACACAACTGGGTGATGGTCCCCAAGCCCATGTGGCTTTGCCAGCAGCCCCCCACCACCCCAGCACTCCCTGTCTCAGGGACTCTGCAGCAGGCCAGCAAGGGTCCTGCTCATCTGTCTGTCACCCTGGGCCCGAGTCATCACATGCCCACTGCCCAGGAGCTCCTGTGGGCAGGACCTTGGCTACACTCCAGGCACCTGGTCCAGCCCCTGGGGACCCACCGGCCACAGACCACCTGCACCCGCACCTGTGCTGCTCACTGACCTGTGGCCTGCAGGAAATGCCGGACGCAGACGTCCATTGGGGCTATGCTGCCGCTCAGCGTCTTGGTGCCTTGAGAGCAGAGAGGGCAGGCTCTGGGGGGTCGTGGGCCACCTGGCATGCGGGCTGGGACCTGGGGCCCAGTGGATCGGGGCGCTCACCTGCCACGTAGGCCGTCAGCCCATCCACTTCCACTTCCTGCTGTCCCAGCGTGTGCCGGCCGTTGCCCAGGCCCAGGGCAGGGATGGCATCGGTGACCAGCACCAGCCCTAGTGGAGAAGAGGCTCAGAACCTACTGGCCCAGTCATCCCACCTGCCCCAATCACCTACCCGGGCTTACCCTGGGGGTGGGCACGGTGGGCAATCCGCAGGGCGGCAGGGTTAGTGTGCGTGCCATCTGCAATCATCCCGTAGAAGATGCAGCGGCCCACGGGCAGCCGGTCACTGGTCAGGAGCCCCACGATGCCTGGGTCGCGGTGGTGGAACTGGGCAGGGTCAGGGGAGGGGATGGCTGAGCGGACCGCAGGGGCTGCTGGGACCCTGCCCCACCCCCGGGGCCCCACAGTGCTCACAGGCAGCATGGCGTTGAAGAGGTGGGTGATGAAGGCAGCTCCGCTCCACACAGCATCCTCTGCCGCCCGCAGGTCGGCCACTGAGTGCCCTGCGGGACCTGGATTCAAACTCTGCACCTGGCCCAGGTCCCCCAGGCAGACCTGCCCTGAGCTGGCCCCTCACCTAGGGACACACAGATGCCTCGGGCTGTCAGCTCCTGGATCACCTCGTGGCTACGGCCCAGCTCCGGGGCCAACGTCACGATGCGGACATTGTCCAGGGTACCGTAGGTGGCTAGCAAGTCCTGGAAGGCATTGGCCTCGAAGGAGCGGAGGTGGGCCTCGGGGTGTGCGCCCCGCTTCTCCCGGCTGATGAAGGGGCCCTCCAGGTGCAGCCCTGGGAGGAGGGAGTAAGCGGCTCCAGCAGGCCCCTGCCCCACCCAGCCCTTCTTGCCTGCCCTCCCCACCAGCTGGGCATCTGGAGGGATTGGGGCTGCCAACAGGTCCCGCAGGAGCCTCCCAGGGTAGGGGTGGGGAGGGGGTCAGCCACTCACCGAGGACCCCTGCCCCATGGGGACCACCACTCTTCACAGGGATCTGAGGAACAACCTGGGGGGAACCAGCTGTTAAAGCCCTGTCCCCCATGGCCCATGCCCAGAGGCGACAGCCCTGCCAAGGCCAGAGATTTAAGGGTCAGAGTTCAGAGCCCAGCCCAGCCCAGCTCCAGCTGCCTCTCCCTTCACAGGGGTCAGGGAAAGCACAGCTGGCAGAACTAAAGGACACATGGCAGGAGCAGGAAGAAATGACAGGCGTGTGGGAGGCCAGCAGCCCCCGGGCCACATAGGCAGGCGTGTGGGCACTGAGGGCAGCCCAGGGAGCAGGGCCAGGAGGCAGGAGGTGGGAGCCGAAGGGACCCTGGGAAGAGTCGGTGTGGGCGTGGCCAGCACTCAGCACTGTGTGTGGCCCACACCATGGCAGAAGATGGACACCATCAGGAAGACGGAGAGTGTCAGGTAAAGGGTGGACACGGGCACATACCACGCACCTCAGAGGTCGACAGGCGGGCAGGCACCCCAGCCCACACTCCCTCCAACACAGTCACGGGCCTGGGGTGCTTCCCAGAGAGAAGAGCTTCAGGCGAGGATGGTGGCTGGACTATACCCTCCCTTGAACTCCCCACCCTACACAACAGTAAGACTTGTTTCTGAGACACAGTCTCGCTCTATTGCCCAGGATTTCAGCTCACTGCAACCTCCACCTCCTGGTTTCAGCAATTCTCCTGCCTCAGCCTCCGGAGGAGCTGGGATTACACGTGCCACCACGCCTAGCTAATTTTGAATTTTTAGTAGAGATGTTTTGCCATGTTAGCCAGGCTGCTCTTGATCTCCTGACCTCATGATCCGCCCGCCTCAGCTTCTTAAACTTCTGGGATTACAGGCGTGAGCCACTGCACCTGGCCAACAGTAAGACTTCTGTTTTGAGACAGGGTCTCACTCTGTCACCCAGGCTGGAGAACAGTGGCATCATCTTGGCTCACTGCAACCTCGGCCTCCTGGGTTCAAGCAATTCTCCTGCTTCAGCCTCCCGAGTAGCTGGGACTACAGGTGTGCGCCGCCATGCCCGGCTAATTTTTCTGTTGTTAGTAGAGACGGGTCTCACCATGTTGGCTAGGCTGGTCTTGAACTCCTGACCTCAGGTGATCCACCTGCCTCAGCCTCCCAAGGTGCTGGGATTACAGGCATGCCCCACCACGCCCAGCCAACAGTAAAATTGTTAAGAGGCTTAAACCCGGAGGTGAACAGAGGACGGGAAGAGGAGGCCTTTGGGGGCTTGGCAAGCAGACACGAGGCAGGTCTGGGTGGGTGCACGCAGCCGGGGAAGTGACCCCCCCAGACTCAGGCTGGTACCTTGAGAAGTGGGGTGATGGGGAGACCAACAGAAAAGTGCCTGCCCCAAGTGTGCTAGCCAGGTCTCTGGGTAAGTAGAGCAGAGGGCCCACGGCACGGGTTGGTATGGGCACAGCAGGAACTTGGGAAATGTGCGTTCTTGAGGCGCTTGGCAAGCTGCCAGCTAGGTCCAGCCCCTCTGAGCACAGCAAGACTCTTCTTAGGGAACCCAGACAGCCCAAGAGAAGGACCCAGGGACTCCAACCTACAGGTGTCCCCACAAAACCCCTCCCACAGGCTGGGTACCCTGTTCTGAAAGACAGTACACGACCAAGTTCAGCAGGTGGCCTGGGCAAACCTCGAAAAGGAGCCCGAGCACAAGAGGACAGGGCCAGGCGGGAAAGCAGAGACCATGAGGAGAGACGGACAAGGAAAAGGGCCATGATGACCGCCCTGTAGCCAGCAAGAGGGCTTCTGTCCCTGAAACAAAAATAGGATGGGAGAAAAAGGAACACGCGGCCGGCCCAGTGGCTCGCGCCTGTAATCCCAGCACTTGGGAGGCTGAGGCAGGTGGGTCACAAGGTCAGGAGCTTGAGACCAGCAGGCACAGTGGCATGTGCCTATAATCCAAGCTACTCAGGAGGCTGAGGCAGGAGAGTCACTTGAACCTGGAAGGCGGAGGTTGCAGTGAGCTGAGATCATGCCATTACACTCCAGCCTGGGTGACAGAGTGAGACTCTGTCTCAAAAATAAGTAAATAAGTAATAAATAAATAAATAAAAATACAAAAATTAGCCAGGTGTGATGGTACATATCTGTAGTCCCAGCTACTCCGGTGGCTGAGACAGGAGACTTGCTTGAACCCAGGAGGCAGAGGTTGCAGTGAGCCAAGATTGTGCCGTTGCATTCCAGCCTGGGGGACAAGAGCAAAACTCCATTAAAAAAAAAAAAAAAAAGAAAGAAAGAAAGAAAAGAAAAAAAGAAAAAGGAATACTCAGCCGGGGATGGTGGCTCACACCTGTAATCCCAGCAATTTGGGAAGCCGTGGAAGTTGGCTCACTGAGGTCAGGAGTTTGAGACCAGCCTGGCCAACAAGATTAAACCGAATCTCTACTAAAAACACAAAAATTAGCCAGGTGTGGTGGTGGGTGCTTGTAATCCCAGCTACTCAGGAGGCTGAGGTAGGAGAATGGCTTGAACCCGGGAGGCAGAGGTCGTAGGGGACAGAGACCGCGCCACTGCAGTCCAGCCTGGGTGATGGATGGAGACGCCATCTCAAAGAGTAAATAAACAAATAAACGGCCAGAGAGGGGAGTGAAACAATGTGCAGGAAGCCTGGAGTTGAGGTAGGAGCTAAAAAACTAAGCAAAGAACACTCACCGTAAGCAAGCAGAGGTGGCGGCAGAGAAAAT